TACTGAAATACATTGCTGACAGGAGCAGTGGGCAGGTCAGGAGAGGTCTGCCATGCCATGTGGGTCAGCTCCCTGGCAGGGGATTGAGCTCATGCAGCGGCAGCTTCAGAAAGCTTCATAATGTGGTGCTTTAACTCGTTGCACCACCAGGGAGGGCCCCATCATTCTGATTTCTAATGTCTAGGTCCTAAAGTGTTCAGCTTATGGTACAGAACTTAGGTGTCCACCTTCTTCTCTGGGAAAACCTGAGCCCTTCAGCGCCTGGGGAGCCACAACCATCACCTAGGTCCTGCTCACTCCTCCCTGGGTAGAGAGAACTGAAGGCCTGTTCAGAGGAATATGAGGCCCTCGGCAAGCCTGGGATCAGAAGATGCTTACAAACGCCACCCAGAGAGAGGAGTTTGTCATCATCCTCTTTAAACATTGGTGTTACATCTCCATGTACATTTCACCTGCCCCTTACAGCACTGGGACAGAGCAGGCTCAAGTATCCTCTTTTTATGTCTGAGAAAGCCAAGATCTAGGAGGTCCAGTAGTCACACAACGGTGCAGCAGGGCTGCCCCAGCTGAGACTATTACTGCCAATGCGAAAATGAAAGGGGTAACTTCCTGAGGGCAGAAGTTGAGTAATGAGCTTAGTCTCCTGAGCTCACTCAGTTTCCTCACACTCCAGAATCTTCCTGGTATATCAGACTGAGGAGATCAAAGCAGGGACTTGTTTTCCTTTTGAGCTACTTATAACGACTAGTTCAAAATCCACCTTGGAGGAGCCCAAAACTTTCTCTCAGCTCACATGTGAGAAAACAGACTTGACAGAGACCCCTGTGCTGTTGGGGGTATTTGGGATTGCTCTCTTGTGGCTGTGCTGGCATCAGACAGAGAAAACCACCTATGGGTTCCATAGAACAAGATTCATTCTGTTATGTGGCTCTGGAGAAAGGCCTTAGATCTAATCGTGGAGGTAGATGTTGCAAAAGAAGAAAATACTCCAGTTTCACCATCTCCCTTCCATTTCTTCAATGCGTATAAAATAATGACTTTAGGATCTTTTTTGAAGCCCTTGCCTCATCTGTAAAGTGGAGCAGAGGAGATTGTATCTATCTTACATGAGAGCAGAGACGCTGGCTGCCTTCCCACTGACGCAGCTGCCAGCACCACGCTGCACCCTTCTTTCCTACTTTTCTCCCAAGGGCCCCTCACTCCTTCCCTAAACCAAACTCCTGAGAGACTCATGCCCCAGGTTGCACACTGCACTAGCTAGACTCTGATCCCTTTCAATTCTACCATTCTCTGGTCTCTTTCTCATGGAAGAGTGCTGATTTAGACGTGCAGTTCAGAAAAATCCTTAAGGATGGACATATTTTCTCCTTTGGAAGATGAAGTTGTTTTACCTCTACAAGTCAAAGGAAAAGAGCAACGCAGCACTGTGTCTGTTTCCAAACAAAATACCCTCTCATTGACCTTACCTTCAATAGCGTCTGGTATTTTATAAGCCTCTGGCTTGGTCCTCTAAGATACTTAAAAAGGGGATAATTGTGATCCAGTTGACGCTGGCACACCTTTAAAGGCCAAACAGAAGCAACATAAAGCAAAACCAATAACACACAGAGGACAAAAATCTCAGAATTTAAATGCAAGAGATGAAATGGATTCTTGATAGACAGTGAGGTTGACTTTCATTCTTCAGGTACAGTGTGTGAAAATAGAGGATGGTGTGGTTTGGCTAGTATTTAATGAGCAGTCAGGGCCATTCATTTATTCTAGAAAGTGAATCCACTAGAGGACAAGGGGTTTTGCAAAAACTTCTGAAAGGGAGGCAGCCCTGAATTCCAGTGGAGGCTGGGGTCTATCCAGGTAATTTTTGAGCCTGGAGATAACGTGCTAGCTTATTGATAACATTCCAGGGAAGCCCAAAGAGTGAACTTTCTGACTTTGTTCTATTTCTCTTCCTTCCTTCCTTCCTTCCTTCCTTCCTTCCTTCCTTCCTTCCTTCCTTCCTTCCTTCCTTCCTT